TCGGTCCTGAATTTGAATATATACTAGACGCAAAAGTGAATTTTCCTCATTCAACTGTCCACAATGAAACGAAATTGACAACAAAAATACAAATTCCAAAAGAAGTCACAGGTTGAAACTTTATGCCTTCCATGCCCATTAGAACTCGCTGCAAGCAATTATGTGGGTCTCATGAACAGATAAATGCATTTAGAATATATTTATCTATGTGAGAAGCCTGTACGACAATTAAGCGTTCTTTTGCACCACAAATTTCACCAAGGCGTAATTCGAAATTTCAATCGTTAAATTGACTGAAATAGTATGCAGTTACATATTTTTCAAGTTGCTCTTGAACTGAAAAGACAGATTCAATAAGTCAAGATAATTGATGAGGGTCGCTACTTTGAAACGACAAGTTTCACTCTCGTAATCGTGAGAAATCATAACTTATGTAAGCCAGCACTCACGACTTTCATGTCCGAGTGTGCCTCGTTGAGGACGCAGGAGACAAGTGCACAAGAACCAGTGCTACTTTGCAGGTTCGGATCTCAAGTAGAGAATAAGTGGGATCTGATTCAGTTCCGGCTATTTATACGGGAGGCCCGGAGGGGGAATGCCTAACGTCGTAATTTCCTGGCAGCCTGCCTTCCTCTTTTTGCGTCTTAAAGAAAAGAAGCTTCGACATTGGCCATGGGGATTCCCGGTTGAATCGTGATGTCACGAAGAAAATTTCTGGCCTTTTATCGATTGTTTCCCAGACCCTGAAGAAGACCTTGAGGTTCGAACAGGCTTCGCACATGGTGCGCAGTTTGCTTGGCACGCCGGAATCCAGTTATCGATATATATTTTTTCCTTTTCTACTACACGTGTCATGGCATCATCACTCACATGAGTCAGGGCACAAGTATTTTTTTTTTGGCCATATAGTTGTGTTTTCTTCTTTTTTAAAGACTCCAGGGTCAGATGGTCAAGGGTAGCTGTGTTTCAGATTCCAATTTGTTTCAGAAAAAATTATTGCATGGTGACTTGCAAGATTCATGGAAAATCAAAATCACGGATATAATATAGATAATTTAAAAAATGTGTGGCTCCACCAAGAACAAGTTCGGTAGTGCAATATGCCCTTTTTCTAAGGATTAAAGAACTGTTGTGATTCCTTCAGCAATCTTTGAAAGAAAAGAAGCTCCAATTATTCGGGTAAAACATATTTAAAAAAATGTATGCTCTTCGTCTTGGCTAATTTCATATCAGTGTTAGGTAGTAATTAAATTAAAGGTAATTTAAATCGTAAATTAAATTACAATTTAACTGGAATTTGTGTCATAATATGTATTTATTAAAGAAAAGAATTACAAATTATTATCATGGAGTTATGGCAACCGGAAGCCTCAGCTGCTGAGCGACACAAGATTTCTGTTTTGCCATGAATGTCCGTTGTTTCTAAACTGTGCAGGCCAGATCCGTGTGGGACAGCAACGTTGAATGTGCATAGATATATCGACCCGGAATCGTTGAGTAAACGTTGAGAATATACGTCGACTCCACTGGAAATGGGAATATGTTCATGGGAATATGTTCTGCGTGGATAAAAAGTAGATTTGTCAACGTTTTTTCTCTGTGGCTTTTGCAATGACTCCTACCCTCGTAGAGATTCGCAAGTAATGCAAAAAAAAAAATTATCCAGCACAATAAATTTATTCCTTTAGCCATTTTAGCTAATTACTCCACACATTAATATTTCCAGAATGTCAACATGAACCACAGCCAAAGAAACCACATTATCCTCTTAGAGAAGGATTCATCAAATGATCACTCAGGAGTCAGGAGAGTTAGTGATATCAAGAGGCGATTTCTCCACAGAGAAAAAACGTTGACAAATCTACTTTTTATCCACGCAGAACATATTCCCATGAACATATTCCCATTTCCAGTGGAGTCGACGTATATTCTCTAAACATCAGTTACTATAAACTGCAAAACTAAGAAACAGGGTTTGTTAATAATGACATTCTGAATCCAGAGATTAATATTCCTGAAGAGGGAATATTGAATGTGATATGCACAGTATAGTAAAGTGTACAGTTGTTACACTTTTATTATGAGCATATTGAGAATCAATACCCTGTCATGGAATCCAGTGAGCCCTTCTGGATTACTTAAATAGATAATGGAGAGCTGCAAGAATTCACTTTTAACTTCAGTTTGCCCATTCAGCTCTTCAGATTATAACTTTGCACCTCAATATCAAGAGGAAAAACTGAAATAATCTAATGCTAGATGAGTCAATAATTCCAATATACTGGACTATCCTAAAGTAAGTGCTGGTTCCTTTCTCTCAAAAAATTGCATTTAAAATATAACATACAAATCATGCAGAAATTCAAGTATGCTGTGATGCTGGGTGTTTTAAGAGTAGCAACACAATTTTCAGAATTAAAACTCCACTCAAGGAGTTTCTCAAGGAGTTGCATGACTACCCTACAAGTATTTCACAAGACACTCCCACAGTGACTCCACAGAAATGTATTCCAGGATCAATAAAATATGGTGATCCTATTCATAGGAAAATGAAGCTTATCCTAAAGTAGGAAACTTTAACCGAAAACTCCTTGAAGGATTGAATTGGAGCTAAAGACTACTTGAAGTATCTCAAGTCCAATGAATAATAAATATCAAAGCAGTCTAGACATACATTACATATCATAACTTTTAAGTATATTAGCTTAACTTTCTAAGATAGAGAGCACAGAAACCTTTAGGCCTATAAAAATCTTGCAATTCTGTATTACATCTTCTCATATCTAAAGAGAGTTGACAGAATACAGGTTTCAAATAGGCCTAGAAAAAAGAATGGATTACCGAAAAAAAAAGCCTGCTTGTGGAGTCTGGACTTCAACTCAAATGACCCATCTCACTGCCTCTAATTCTCCATTATATTTACTTCCTAAGTTTTACAAAAAATTGGGTATTTGAACTTAATTAAGGAGTATCTGAATGGGTCTGATGAAAAGCTATTAATTCTTTAAAGTTTAATGGAAGTAGGTATCAATTTACTTGCTCAAGACATTCAGCATGTATTTTCTATGAAGGCAGCATACTGGTTGAACATGTCATTAAAAGACTTACACCAATCAATTTAATTATTTTGATACTCATGCTTCCTGAAGTCTCATGAGAAGCAATAGGCCTATCTAAAGTGAAAATAATTGGGTTATTGCACAAGTCTGTCAGCTGGGATACACATAATTCAGCTAATAATACCATTGGGTCCATGAATGGATTAGAGGCCTCTTTCTGTTAAACTGCAGGTAGGATTGGGTTTAGTCCTGAGGACATGTGAAAGATACCTAAGATGGATTATGGGTCGAGGCCTATCCACAATGAAAGTGATTGGTTCTACAAGGAGGCATGCAGGTCTACCCGTGGCGTCTCTACCGTGGGGACTTAGCCCTAAAGTGGACAGTTTCCGAAGGATTTCGCCTAATTCAGCACTGAGTAGGCTAGCGCAACGAAAGAGAGAGTTAGGGACATAGTACATACACCGGCTTCGAGGAAGTTGAAGCCTCCGCCACGAGCGTAGAGGCCGGGACAGCATATATCACTGCCATCTACGTTTCCACCTAAGATCCACGTCGAATCGAAGTATCTGTGCTACACGGGGGATTGCTGGGGCAGCATGTTCTGGCTATGTGAAAAGCGCGGTATCGTCTGATGAAGATACCTTTTCTCATGCTCTCATTCAGACAGACAAGGAAGTGGCGAGACTCCTGCAGCCAATGCCTAACAAATGCAGGATTCGTCGTTCCACTATTACAAAAGAAACATGATTTGAAATTCTCAAGCTTGTACAGTATTCCAAGACTAAGAAAATAAAAAGAACCTCCTTTTTCATTTTCACTTAAAGATATAAACTCTTTGAACTTAGGAGCACTGGCAGTTGACATATTGCTGGATACGTTAAGGAGGTCGACTACATTGTAGCGATGGGAATCCATCAACGAGTCGAACATACATTATATTCATATTGTATATACTTTAAGGTTTTATGGAAGTATAATACAGAAATAGGTCTATTTAGAGGTCATAGGTGGGATATGTGCAGACCTGCCTGTTTCACCAGGATTCCCATTGCTGGTAATTTGTGTGGTTTCTTTCAATCGGGTTCAACTTACATTTTCAAACTGGAATGTGGCGAGTTCAAATGTTCAAAAAATCTCACGCGAAAGAAAGAGCTTGTGGGGAGCTTTCGTTTGGCATTAGTTTCAAGTTTGGATCTTGTTTGACAAGAAATGGAAATATATGGACCGTCATACTGTACAGTATCTCATAAAAATCGGCAACATTGGACTTTTCAAACTTAATTTCCCGTTGTTTCAAACAAAGTAGGAAGCTGAAATTTGGCCGTTAACGTTGCCTTTGCTTTGTCTTGCAATGTTAGAGAAGATCTTTGTGTTACCACACATAGCAATACTCGATATTTCCATGCAATTTTGACAATATTTACATGTTTGGAAAAATTGCAACTCGTTTTATCATGAATGTAGGAGAGAATGCATGTAATTATTAAGGTCTTGCATTGTCTTAGCTTTATTTAGAGATCGAATACGCTCTTTTAGCTCGACTAGGACCAAAGATAGCGCCTTGACAACAAATTTCACTGTTCCTCTGGAGGGTTAAATTTAGGACCGCAAATTTCGCGAACCCTTACGCCTGAATGCCGGGATTTTTATTTTTCCATATCTCTAGCAAGCCACCGTGCTATAATTTTTTTTTCAAGCAAAACGGAGTCTGAAACGCAACAACCCATTGACCGCTTGAGCCTAGAGCCTCTAAAAGCAAGAAAACACGACTACATGGGCAAAAAAAAAAGCACTTGAGTCCTGACGTGTCCTGTTAGTCATGAGATGTGAAGCAGAAAATGAAAAAAATCGAAAACTGGATTCATGCGTGTCAGCAAAATGCGCATGTTAAGGCGAAACCTGTTCGAACCTCAAGGTCCCCTCAAGACCGGGAAATGACAAAAAATAATTTTTTTCCATGACATCACGATCCAACCGGGAATTCCCATGGTCAATGTCAAAACCTTTGTTCCTGAAAGACGCAAAAGAAGAAGACAGGCTCGTTAAACCTAAATTCCTACCAGGAAACTACGACGTCCGACATTCCCATTTCGCCCTCCTATATAAACACCCAGAACTGGATCAGACCTCACTCATTCTCAACCTGCGATCCGAACGTGCAAAGCAGTTTTAACCCTCGTGTCTCCTACGTCCAGAGCTTCGCACACAGTCAACATGAAAGTCGTGAGTACTCCCTAATATTGGTTCTTGGGAAGATTTCTCATGATCAGGATCGTGAAACTTGTCGGTTTAGTGTAGCGTTTACAGTAACTACCACGTATAATAAGTTCAACCTTATTGAATCAGTCTTATCTATTTAAGAGCAACTCGAAAAATGTATAACTGTATACGATTTCAATGTGATGATTTATATTTCTAATGACACCAAGGAAAAATACGTGATGCCATTGAAAGCAAAATCGTCGCGCATGCTTCTCACATAGGTATATATATTTTTTAACGTATTCGTCTGTTCATGTAGCCCACAGAATTTCTTGCAGAGATTTCTAATGGCATGAAATGCATGGAGTTTTCATGTACGACTGGCAAATCATTTTTGTTGTACATACAGCTGCTGGGACTGCTGGGGCTGGTCTGCCTGATGGTTCTTGCTCACGCGGCTGCGGTAAACGAAGACCTCGACGCTGCTGAATCTGCCCAGTGGGGTGGCGGCTGGGGAGGCCGCGGAGGTAATTCACGTTTAAACCTCGTAAATTTCATTTAATGCACAGACAGATTCGCCCTTGACTATATGAACTCTTTGGGTTGGTGAAACCAGGAAATTTTTATTTCGTGACTGTCGAGATAATTCAAAGCAGAACAACGAAGTAATCGACGTTACCTTTATGATATATTTATAACTTATCGACCATAGGACGTATCATGCTAATCACTAGTCATAGGACTTGTCATTCAAGCTAACATTCAAGCTAAACTGGAAGGCACGGAAAAGAGAACGCAATTCAGAATTGAAAAAGTCTAGCATCCTTTCAGCTGCTTCTCGCAGCATGAACGAGGATGCGAGGTGTCATTATGCCCTTCCGATGGCAATTTAACTGCTTCTCTTCAAAGTCAAAACAGAAAAAGATGACTCCCTCATACTGGATGCAAAGTAGAAATTGGATGCGAACTACACCTCATGCAAAACATCCAGTGTATATTCATAGCCTTTAGTTTGACACTGTCCGAAACCAACTGGATATCATCATACGAGGTATTTATATGGGAAAAACAATGAAAAGTGTATTTCTCTCTGTTTTCCGAGACTTGATTGACCTGTGAAGTAAGCTCATGTCTGAAGGACAGAATTGTGTTCATTTCCAATATGGGACTCAGGTCATCACTTAGTCACTATGGACTTTTGTGGGGTAAGAGATCGGCTTGAGCCACTGGACATCACAGCTCACTTCGCCTTTCGAAGTGAACTGAGGGAGTACAAGCGCGGGAGTGGTTCTTCTAAGGGATTTCTTATTGCGGATGCATGCGTTGAGTTTTGAGTAAAGCGTTTTCCTAACTTTTTTTTTGCAGCGGTAATTTAGGAAATTTCCGTTCGAAACTTGACCTTTGGGGATTGCCGGGAAAGCTTTGACACTTAACATATTCCTTCTCTCTCTCTCTCTTCACAGGCTGGGGAGGAGGCTGGGGTCGTGGAGGAGGCTGGGGTCGTGGAGGAGGCTGGGGAGGAAGAGGCTGGGGAGGAAGAGGCTGGGGAGGACGCGGCGGTTGGGGGTGAATACCTTCTCTCGATGAACCGGCTGTTTCTTCCTTTTCCTTCCTCTCGTCATCCTTGTCATCATCAGTTCATAAGGACTTCAGTTTTCAACGATTACCAAAAACGACGTCTTTCCATTCTGAATAAACACATCACTAACATTTCCGTCCGATATTTCATTTTTCTAAATGTCAAAATAATAATTTCCCTAAGTCGAAATTCGCTTAAAATCACGCAGCGATGAGTATTACGTAACAAATACATATTTTACCTCGCGTGCATCCTGATTTCCCATGACAGTTATGTCAAAATCAGAGGCCATATTTTACCTAGAAACTAAACGTGGGCTACCGTCTTCAATGGGCAAGAAGTGCACTATGTAAGGAATTGGAATACAAGGTGAGAGGTCAGTGATTAATGCTCCTCTAATCCATTCTGTATGTTTAAATCTGTTTTTTAAAGGAAATTTGTAGGGATTTCAACGGTTAACTGTGTAACCGTTTAGAAATCCGATCTTTAGTATAGATAACTGCTAATTACAAGTTGATTTGGATTAACCGCTATGATGCACTCCCTTACCGGTCTCCAACATATAAATGGAAAGAAATTGCGTTCATTTCTAGTCTCCTCTTTTCCTTGAAAAACGTTTCCCTTGTTTGAAGCTGTTCTGGGAACTTCCGTTTACCGACAGCTTGTCTTTTAATGTCCATCGGTTAACGGCTAATTAATTAACAGGGAAATCGAAACCCTAGCATAAATGCAACAACTCCCTCATGGTGCATGGCACAAAGGTGACGACTGGATGTGATTCAAATGGAAAATACAGAGTTTACCGAAATGATAAAATGAAGTAATGTGAAAACCATTTTTCAAAGGCTTTCCCTTTCTTCAACCTCAACATTTTCCCTCGAGAAGTGTTTTAAATGGTGTTATGACAATGAGAGGAAGAATGACTTCCTTTGCCACGAATCTGAAATGTTTACTTTTCTCGCTTCCTGATGGACAAATGCATTGTCGATGTCATATGTCATCTAATGAGTTTGTACATTGTTTTCAACGTTCACTCTGGTGTTGGGACTTTTCGGGTTGGTCTGCCTTGTGGCTCCGACCCAAAGGGACGGGAAAAAAAATTGCTTACCATTGAAAAATTAGCGGGATTGGCCGAAAGCAAAATAGATGCAGTGAATTCGACAAGTGAGCGATTCACTTACCACATATGAACCTCTTTTTGGATCTCAGATGGTGAGATTCAGAAAAGTACTTTAAGGACTCAAAGAAATTTCATTTAGGTGATAAATTAATCTGAACAAATGAAGTATGTCTTCTCTCGCTACTGCACATGGGTGTACATTTCAAGGGCTTTGAATGAGCGAACATTGGAAGTACTGGAGTGTAATGCAAATTGAAAGAACTGCTGGTGGCCCTCTAGCAAAAACTACGGGCCCAATTTGCGCATTTGAAGGACATGAATTTGCATCCTATTAGAGGGGTTCCTCTTCAGTCGCAATAACTGACCTGGTTCTGGCCGTGATGAAAGCTATTTATTTTTCCTCAAGTACTGAATGCTACAAATGAGTACTTCCCAATGATCCATGCCCAAAAGTGTGTCCTTTATATGGAGTTTAAGTTAAGTTAACTCTGAAATTATTCCAAATGAAGTCCCTCAGTCACCCTGACGACGATTCTATGGTCACAAGACGACGTGCAGCAACGCTGCATTGCCGTCGTGTGCCTGAACATGCTCAGCATAAAAAAATATTTATGTATAAGAAGCGACTCATCGTACTAATTTGGGAAAACGCAGACCTTTTAAAAGCTACGTTAGACGATTTCTCGTTCAAATTTTGCAGGAGAAAAATATTTCTGCTTTCACAGCAGCTGACCTCTGGATTCCAAATGTGGCAATGTGTCATTCCGAGATGCAGCGATCATCACATCACCATGACGAGGAGTCATGATGATGTGATGCTCGAAGATAAACCCAAACCGGGACGGGATAGAAGGGCAACTTCGTTCGGGAGACGACGTCCACCGATCTCGTCCACGGATATCCATAGACGCCGGGGAATCCGTGCGGCCTCAGCAGCACTTCCCCCATCCTTCGTGCCTCCGTGGCGTGGCGTTGTGATGCGAGGGTGGAGGGCAGCGGAGATTTATGAATGCAGACAGGGTTCCGTCCGATCAGGAATGACCTTGATGAAGAGGAAGTGGAAGATTGTCTCGGTTGAGGGGATTTCCGCCAGAGGCAGGTCCAGCACTCGGAGCTGGACTGTCTTGCACCTGCGCCTGAAAATGTGAAAACTAAAGACAAATAGATAACTCATTAGGGGGTTTCTTTAATAGATGCAGTCCGCTGACCTTGTGTCATTGAGCCATTGATGTTTTCGTTTTTAGATGATCAGATTTGAGAAGAATGGCTCCGTACTTGATGGATGAGCATGAGAGTGTCATATGGTTCTGTCACTGTGGTTAAACGCCTCTTTCGAGTAAGTTTTCCTCGCACACTACCCAAGAGAGAAAAGCATTCACAAATCCCATGGTATACAATCTCATGAAGTCCTATCAATTTAAGATCAGCTTGAAAACCTTTCCGTTCGGATTCTTACAAAATACACGAGAGCAATGAACACTCAATGGTTTAATGGCCTCTCACGAAGCTAAAGAAATAGTAAATTAATGAAAAATAAGGGAAGGAAGTGTATTCATTTATTTGTCCGCCACAATTTTTCGTAGGGTGTTTTAATGGACATGAAAGGCATGTAATTTTCAAGCACGACAGTTATAATAATGCAAACTATGCATCGTACAGTTGTAGCATTTTTGTGTTAACGCTAAAGGGACCATGGGGAAGAGGAATATAGGGTCATCGGATATGGCCACCAGCATTTGCTCAATATTTGCTGCACTTGCTCAATATGACCTCCATTCATGTCTCCGATTGCTAGCATTCGGGATTTGCAATGATATATGGCTCGCCAAAGCTGTCCAACACCTAACATGGCCACATGATGGCGAATAGCATGCTTGAGGTCCATTAAGGTGACAGGTGCTGCACGATACACAAGAGACTTGAGATATCCCCAAAGCCAAAAGCCTGCTGGGATGAGGTCGGCCTACAAGACCATGCCTTTCTAGGTCATTAGCTAAGCAGAATGACAATGTTCAGTCAATTTCGGGACAGCCTGTATAATCACTGGACCCCCCCTACCAGATGTCAGTCTGACCGTAGAAATGCCACGCAACAAGCTGTCCTTAGACATAAGGATCGCCTTAGTGAGACATTACTGCAGTAATAACAGCAATGTCGGTGTGGACGCTACGGTGGTTCCGGCGTGAGACAGGGTGACATAAAGGATCCTGCAGTGAGAGAGCATGCCGAAATCTGGTTAAGAAATTTAAAAGAACTGGTTCCGTCGCCGATGCACCCTATGCCGCCCTACAACCCCTGCGGAAATTGTAGCCGGGGCTGATGCTTCTCGTAGAAATCATCATGGGGAATGCAGCACCAATCAAAAAAGTTGCAAAAAAAATGCCGGACTCGCCCGAATTTTGAAACAACGCCTAGCCTATGACCGTCCCCGGACCGAATGAGGAAGCCATGCGAAGTTTGGTCGGACTGGGATCAGAGGCAAGGCCGTGCATAAAGGACAGACAGACAGGCACAAACATTCGGAAATATAGTATAGATAGAAGAAGATGCTGAAAAACATTTGCCACCATCATGTAAAAGTTTGGTAGTGGTAGTTTGGTAGAAGAGGGCATTTTTCTATGAAGGGAAGAAATATTATCCTTCAACAATCACAAGAAGAAAAGGAAGAGAGAATCAGCTGTTCATATAACGAATAGAAAACAAAACAAAAAATTCCGGCTCTTTGTCTTGGCTAATTACAGACCAGTGTTGGGCAGTAATTGAATTAATAGAAACTTATTGCGATGCGAGTCAATGGCAAGGTACGTATAGACGCAGTCCACGAGGTCTGATCAAAAAGTTCCAGTACTTTCTTGTTAAAAAATAAACAGATTTAGGTAGGGGGCTTGGACTAGTGTAGAGAGGGGGGGGGGGGGGGGGGGGGGGTTACCCTCGAACATGTTGAAACCTCCTTTAGGCTGGGATTAACCAGTCGCGAATCACGAGTGTTGAAGGCCGGTCGTCTCTGTGCTCTTCGTTGAATTTTCGATGGATGGAAAAGAAGAATGTGCATCAAATTCTGTGTGAAAAATGAGAAAACTGGAAATGTTATGTGAAATGGTACAAAAAGCTTATGGGGAGGAGAGCTTGAGTCGAAACATCGTTTACGAGTGGATTAGACGTTTCAAGGAAGGCAGAGACTCAATGATGATGCAGGCCTTCCACGTCTTGCAGAGACGAAAATGCGGCAAAAAATCCAAGCAGATCGCCGTTGGACCATCAGGGAGCTAGCAGAAGAGGTTGGTATCTCGTATGCCAATCAATTCTCACTGACAATCTTGGCATGAGAAGGGTTGCAGCCAAGTTTGTGCCGAGATTGCTCAGCGACGATCCTCACTGGCGATGAAACACGGGTCTCAGGTTATGACCCCGAAACCAAGGCGCAATCATCTTTGACATTCAAGGCCTGATGCATCATGAGTTTGTCCCACAAGGCCAGACAATTGACCAGACAAAGATGCTTTGACCCGTCTGCGAGAAAAAAAAATTGGAGAAAACGGCCCGAACTTTTCCAAAATGAAGCCTGGTTTTTGCATCACGAGAATGCTCCAGCCCACACTGCTCTCACAATTCGAGAGTTTTTGGCTACAAAAAAAATTCCTGTGTTGCCCCACCTTCCCTATTCACCAGACCTGGCTCCGTGTGACTCTTTCCTGTTCCCCAAGACAAAATTTCACCTGAATTTCCTGAAAATTTTCACCTGAATTTCCTGAAAATTTTCACCTGAATTTCCTGAAATTCCTGAAAATTTCACAAAATTTCACCTGAACGGAAAAAGATTTGAGGACATTGCAAGCATGCAAATGCGACGAGGCAGCTTAAGAGTCTTCCACTCCAGGACTTCGAGCACTGCTTCCAGAAGCTGCAGGAGCGTTGGAATAAGTGCATAGCATCGAGGAGGGAATACTTTGAAGAGGGCAACAAGCAATTGTAATGTACTTATTAAAAATAAAGTTTACGCATAAAAGTACTGGAACTTTTTGATCAGACCTCGTATATGTGCCTCAGTGCCCCGAGTCTCTAAAAAGAAAATAGGACTACATGGCCGAATAAAAAACTTGAGTCGTGACTTCTGTGAGTCATGCCATGAGATGTGAAGCAGAAAAGGAAAAAAAAAATCGGAAACTGGATTCCGACGTACCAGCAAAATGCGCATGTTGTGGCGAAACCTGTTCGGACCTCAAGGTCCCTATCAAATCTGAAAAACAACAGATAAAAATACCAGCATTTTTCCTTATGGCATCACGATCCACCTGACAATCTCCTTGGCCAATGCCGAAAGTCTTTGTTCCTGAAAGACGCAAAAAAGAGAAAGACTGACTACCAGGAAACTACGACGTCCGGCAATCCCTCTCCGCCCTCCTATATAAACATGCAGAAATGAATCAGACCACTCATTCTCTACCTACGATCCGAACGAGCAAAATAGTATCGATCCTTGAGTACTTGTTTCCTACGTCTGCAACTTTGCACACGGTCAACATGAGAGTCGTGAGTGCTCCCTAATAATGGTTGATGAGAAGATTTCTCGCGGTCAGGATAGTGAAACGCGTCGATTGATGTTTCTAAGGACACCAGGGTGAAATACGCGGTGCCAAAGAATGCCCGATCGTCGCACATGCTTATCACATAGTTAAATATATTTTAAACTCTCGTTTATCTATTCATGTGACCCACATAAGTGCTTTTAGAGTGATCTAAGGGACATGAAACGCACGAAGTTTTCAAGTATGACAGTCAAATCATTTTTGCTGATACAGCTGCTGGGTCTGGTCTGCCTGATGGTTCTTGCTCACGCGGCAGTGATCAACGAAGACCTCGACGCTGCTGAATCTGCGCAACGGGGCGGCTGGGGAGGAGGCGGATGGGGAGGCCGCGGAGGTAATTCAGGTTTAAACTTCAATTTCATTTAATGCACGAACCAATTCGCCCTTTGCTTTAAGAACTTCTAGGGTTTAAACCAGGAAATTTGTATCCCGTTTCTCTGTCGAGATTACTCAAAAGAGGTATTTGGATATGAGAAAACAATGAAAAATGTGTTTCTGTTCTTCCGAGACTTGATTGACCTGTGAAGTTAGCTCATGCCCGAAGGACAGAATAGTGTTCGTTTCCAATATGGGATTCAGATCGTCACTTCATCACAATGGACTACTGTGATGTAAGAGATAGGTTTGAGCCACGGGACATCACATCTACACTCGACTGGAAGGAGGAGGCTGGGGTGGTGGCCGTGGAGGAGGCTGGGGTGGTGGCCGTGGAGGAGGCTGGGGAGGTGGCCGTGGAGGAGGCTGGGGTGGTGGCCGTGGAGGAGGCTGGGGTGGTGGCCGTGGAGGAGGCTGGGGAGGTGGCCGTGGAGGAGGCTGGGGAGGTGGCAGGGGAGGAGGCGGCCGTTGGGGCTGAACACCTTCCCTGGACGATCGGATGTTTCTTCCTTTTCCATCCTCTTGTCGTCCTTTACTTCCTCAGTTCATTTTCATTTTCATCACATAAGAACTTCAGTTTTCAATGATTGCCAAAAACGATGTCTTTCAATTTTGAATAAACACATATTCGACTTTTCCGCCCAATATTTCATTTTTCAAAATGTCAATCTAAAAAAAGAGCGAGCCTGAGAGAAGGCGACGTACACCCTGGGGCACGCTGAAGGCGCAGCACATGCGCTCATGGATGCTGACATACACAGAGGCCCATGCATATTATATACTGTATATACGAGGGGCAGTCAAATGAAACATAGCGGAAGCCTGTGATGTAATACAGGAGCGCTGA